TAATATGGCTGAAATAAAGCATTATTTTTTTAGGCAGTGAGATTATTCTGTCTTTCCCAATGTTGATTGGTGAAATCTACTTGCTACTCCATTTAAAATGTTGTCCATCTTTACTCCTATCTTCCATCCAAACACCCCAAAATCTCTTAATAGTTCTGCTTTTGTTCCTTGAACTAGAATGGCCCTGGACAACACGATCAACTTGGTTTTGGGCTTTTATATAAATGGTACCATACACTGTGCACTCTTTTCTGTCATTTCCTTAACTCAGCATAGTTATTTGGATTAATCTATCTTGTTGCATTATCAAAGTGAGTTTTTTAAAATTGTTGTATGATATTCCTTTGTGTAGATATACTACAACTTGACAGATACTTGGGTTATTTCCAGTCTTTGACTGCTATGGATAAGGCTTTTCTGAATATTGTATGGATATATGTTTTTTTGTTTGTTGTTCCTTCTGCTCAATACCTAGCTCTGTAATTGCTGAGTCCTATGTTCAGTGTATATTTAACTTTAAAATGAACTGCCAACTCTTTTCCACAGTGCCAATACCATTTCACATTTTACCAGTAGTGTAGAAGAGTTACAGGTGCTTCACATGCTCACCATTTTAGAGTATGGGTAGTGTGAACTCATTTGTATTTTTAATTTGCATTTTTCTGATGACAAATTACATTGGACATGATTTTATGTGATTATTGGCCATTCATGTGTCATCTTTTGTGAAGTTCTTTGCTCAATTTTTTACTGGGCTATTTACTGAGTTGTAGAAGTTTGTCAATATTCTGAATACAGATTTTTTATGAGATACATTTATCATTTGTAGAGGCAGACTGCCATGGGCCCTGACTGGTTATACCAAAAATGTAAGGCCTGGCTGCTCTTTATTCAGGCCGTTTCTCAGCATGTGTTTGCAGTGAACAGCCTTGAGAGATGAAGATGTGTTTCCCTGTAGACAATGAGCAGGCTTGTTATTGCTCACATAAAACGGTGAGCCTCCACAGCTCAGGGTTCTTCTGTAATGCAATCCACTACATGTGCAGGCATCCTTCACCTATTAAGGGACCCTGCATTGCCCCTTGTGGTACTTGGTGGGTTGGGGAATCAACATAGGCATAATAAAGTCATTTGTCTCTAACTCAGGAGTCTTATGTTTTCTGTCAGCATCCATGGAACAGTAACAGGTAACTTAGCTTGTTATGTAGGGTATAGTCTTAGAGACCACACAGCTCTTGACATGTATTGCAAATATTCTCTCCTAGTATATGGCTTACTTTTCGTTCTCCTAATGAGACTATCTTAACAGGAATCTTTTGAAAAGTAGAAGGTTTAAATTTTGATGAAGTGTAATTTATTAATAATTTTATAGTTAGTGACTTTGTATCCTAAGAAATTTTTACCTTCCCCAAAGTAGTGAAGATTTTTACCTGTGTTTTCTTCTAGACATTTTATAATTTTAGTTTTCACAGTTAGGTCTAAGAGCTAGGTTCACTTTCTCTCATAGGATGTCCAGTTGTTCCAACATCATTTGTTGAGGAGGTTCTTCTTACCCCTTTGAATGATATTGACACCTTTGTTGAAATTCATTGACCACATAATTTCATGTATATTCGTGGACTCTCCTGTTCTTTTGATGCTTATACCATTCTAGATTTATTATTGTAGCTCTATAGTAAATTTTGAAGTCATGTGGAGCAAGTTCCCCAATTTTATTCTTTTTCAAAATTGTTCTATTTTAGGTCCCCTGCATTTCCATATAAATTTTAGAATCTGCTTCTATATTTCTGCACAAAAGCTTGCTGGGATTTTGATGGTGATTATATTGAATATAGGGATTATTTTTCAGAAAGTGTATTTCTTAATAATATTGAGTCTTCTATTCTATGAACATGTTGTACCATCTTCATTTATTTAGGTTGTCCTTAATTTCTGCTCACAGTGTTTTGGAGTTTCCAGTATATAGGTATTTGCATTCTTTTGTTTAAAACTTTCCTAATTCTGTGTTGTTTTCTGATGCTATTTAAAATGCTATATTTTAAAATTTCATTTTCTTATTGTTGGTAATATTTAGAATGCATTATTTTTTTATATGTTTAACTTATATTATGTAACCTTGCTTAACTCATGTGGATAATCATTTCATTTGCAAATAGACACAATTTTACTTCTTCCTTTCTAATATCTATTGTTGTTGTTATTATTGCCTTACTTCAATAGCTAGGTCCTCCAATATAATACTGAATAGGAATGGTAGGAGCTGACATTGCTTCTCATGTTTCCACTTTCACGGGTATCAACATGGAAATTATAATAGCTTGAAGACTTTATGAAGGGTGCCATATAATGTCCTATTCTGTATCATGAAAGAACCTAAAGCATTTTTAACATTTTTGGACGCTTGAATTCATCGCTGTAGGAACTTTCCTGTAAGGACCTCATAGACTATGGATTCAGTTAGCTCCCATTTCATGGAGTGGCATCTTTTGGTTCAGCTGAGTTTACCTGTAACTAGAGTCAGGGGGTGGGAAAGTAGAGGTTCCAGTGTTTTAAGATAATTAAATCCTTATCTTTTGTAACACAACTCGAAGGTAATATTGAAAACTTACAAGTTTAAAAAGATCAGAATAAGCACATTATTTAGGCATACTAAGTAGCTATCAGAAGAAACAGTTAAGAGAACTAAAACTGTTTACCTTTGGGAGATAGGGCTAAGAGGTGGGGCAGGTGGCTTTTCCTTTTCCTTTTTAAATTTTTTTAATATCATTTCTATTTTTAACCAAATGCACTTATTGCTTATTATTCTTATATTTTAAAACTTTGTACTATATAGGGCTTATCCATACATTGTTGAAGGGAACAATTGATCTATTCAGTTTTGGTTTATTTTGATCTTATCAAAATCATAATTATTTCAAATATAAATTCACAAGGGATGGCAAAAGATCATCTAGCTTACCTCCATCATTGCATATTCAGATAAAAATATTAGCCTGACAGCATGCACAGGACACTTGAAAAATTTATGATAAGAAATTGTAAGCAACCTATATGCCCCATGAGGAAGATTTAAATAAGGTAAGTAGTGATCTGTTTCTAGTCAGTAGGCAAGAAAAAAATAATTGTCTTTAAGCTGAAGTATTGATATTGGGATATGAAATGATACTCAGTGACAGAAGTAGCCTATAAAACAGTATGTATCATAAAATATTTTTGAAAGTAAACTGTTTATGAATATATCAATATTTGCATATTCATGTATGAAAAAACACTTTAAGTAGAAATATTAAATTAATAGTTATTTTGAGGCTTTTTTTCCTTGTCACTTTTCTATGTTTTCCAGCTTTTATGTGTTGGACAAGCAGTAGTTTGATTCATCTTCACTGCTCTTAACATTTTTTCCCCCCTTTCAACTTTATTTTATCATTTCATTCTCTTGAGATTTTTGCCAATGAATTTTTCTTTAGTAAATTATCACTTTGCTATTGATCAAAGTCATCTGTCTCCCCAGTGCTCATTTGTTGTGCATTATTTGGCATATTTCCTTGGCCAACATTATAGCAAAATAATACAAATCAAAAGAAATGAAAAGAAATACATCTGATTTCCTGTCATGCTAACTATCTGCTTCTGAACATATACAATTCCTTTCCTTCCTCTTGGATGTGTAATTAAATCTATAATTTAAATACTAATTTTAGGCTTTATTGTTAGTTTGATATCCTAATCATTTCCCATCTGGACTATATATGTGCCTTCTCAACAGGTTTCTGCTTCTGATGCTTCTGATTTCAGAGTAAAAGTCAAAATTCTTTTGTAGGCCTGTAAGGTCTACAGCCTCCCCATCACCACTGTCCTCCAGATATCTGCATGGTTACTTCTCTCACTTCTTTCAGTCTTTTATTCTAATACTGAAATTTGAGGTCTTCAAATTCTTCTCTGTGACACTTTGATCACCCTGTTTGAAATCGTACCCTACCTCCTATGCTTTTTATTCCTAATGCCTGCTTTTATTTTATTCATTATTATCTGCAATTCCATTATTTTCACTGATGAGCTGATTTGTTGTCTTTTTCTCTTCATTCTCTCCCTTGGAGAATGCAGCTTCATGCATGTAGGGATTTTTGTCTCTTGTTCGCTGCTCTTTTTGGCATTTAGAACAGGCCCTGACACTTAATGAACTCTAACCCTTCTAATTTCATACTGCTGCCACAGTGATCTTTATAAATAAAAGTGGAAGTGCTAAGTGTATGGTGGTGCTCTATCACTCCATGATCTGACCTCTGTCTTCAGGTGTATGTGCTTTTTTTTCTTTGTTGGGTGCACAAGTGATTTGGATTTTCTTTTTGGGTGCACAGTATTTTAGTCTGGAAGGCATTCCTAATTCTCTGTCTCCCTAATTCTTACTTCCCTTCTCCCTGTTACTCAGGCTTCTCTCATCTGCTCCACCAAGTGATGTGTTTGTCCTTTGGGTCCCTTGGTACTGTGTTATAGGCATTAGATGGCACTGAAAAGTATTATTTCCTTGCATTTATCCTTCCAGATTTAGGTTTTGACAATCTGTGTCTACAGTTCCTAAGACTAGGTGCTGTTATGAGTTAATGACTTACAATCTTTTCTGTGGTGCTTGGTATATTAGTTTAATAAGGTTGCTCTTGTATTGAGTTCTGACTTTTTATTTGGTCATTAAAACTGTTACTATATTTTAAGATATTTCCTGTGATTTATACTTTGTCATTTTGCATGGTATTTTGGATTTGAAAAAGTCATTTTATTTGGTAAACCTATTGATGCTACTATCTTTTGTGGGTATCATGGATTATGAATTTATAGATTTATGTCTGGAAGTCAGGAAAAAAACAATACTCTCCTGAAAGTATACTGCTCAGGGTATTTGTGTGCAGCTGTTAATATGAAAGTTGAGATGAACTTAATTGTTTTTATTTTAATGATCTTCACAAAGCATGAATTGAAATAATCTTCTTCAACTTAATTTACAGGGAAATCTTAAGAGTAACCGACAGATCTCACCTCAGGAATTCATCCATGAACTGAAAATGGGGTCTGCAGATGAGAGACTTGTCACATGCCTGGAGTCCCTCCGTGTATCTCTGACTAGCAATCCTGTGAGGTAATTCATCTATCTGGACATCATCAGGGCATGTTACTAAATTAAACAGATGTTGTTAGTCAGTCATTTTTATTTAATACTTTCTTCATGGCACCTGTAATAAATACCTGGTAAACCTCAACAACTTCTCAAGGTAAAAATTGAATACATAATATTTAAATTCATGAAGAAATACAGTGTCAGTAGTACTTTTTACATTTATTACTGCATGATACATAGCTTGTGGACCTAAAACTCATTCTTATCTTTTTTCTTAGAATTTAAAAAATCTCAAGGACTTTTTAAAAGAGAACAATCATGATCAGACACTATCAATTTAACATGGCTGAATTTCACTCTGAGGTTTGGTTGCATATGTGCTGGTTGATTTCTGTTTGACATAGAAAGAAATACTATTAATTAACTTATCCTTTATTGGAAATGTATCTTTATAGGAGCCTACAGGTTAGTGTTACCAGATCGAACAACTACAAACACAGGACATCTAGTAAAATCTAAATTTCAGACGTAGTTACACTAAAAACTTTTGTTGTTTATCTGCAGTCTGAATTTAACTGGGTGTCCTGTCTGGGAACATTAACATAGATGTCTCTAGAAAACAGTTCTTAAGCTTTATAGCTCAGTGTATTCTTGAAAATTTTCTAGCAGAAGTTATGAAGTGTCTGAGCAGTTATAAAAAAGAAAATTTCAGAACTGCAAGGGCCTAAGATCAGTTTTGACTCCTCATTGTATAATATATGAATGCTGATTTCTTCGAGAGAGAGAGAGAGAGAGAGAGTAGTTTTAGGGCTAAAATGACAAACTGGTAGTTAACGATATATAATAGAATCATTTCGATATTCTCTCTGACTAGTACTTTTCTGAAGTTTGGCTACAGTATGAAAAACGATCCTTGATAGTATAACTATTTATAACAAAAAGACCCTACCTGCTGAGACATGTAAGTGAGGAATTTAAGCTGTATGAAGAGTGAACAAAAAAATATTTAATATATTTCATTTTTATCTTTATTTTTCCATTTCCACTTATTCTCTGGCCTGTAAACTAATGGTGTGCATGAGACCAGGGACTTGATATGTTTTATTTATCTCTTTACCAGGCACACTGCTTAGTTAGCATACAGGAAGTACTCATGATTGGAACAAGGTTTAATTTTAACCCTCTATGTTCTTACGTTGGCTATTGTTAGAAACTAAGTTGAATTTGGAGATTATATATTTGACAGATACAGTCATAAATGAATAGCTCTGGTCCAGCTTAATCTGTACCTCTTTAATGTATTCATTTAAAAATTAATTATTGAACACCTGCTGACTTTCATATGCTGTCTTAGATGTGGGGCTGGGGTAAACAGCAAAGCAGCTCCAGGCTCTGTTCCTATATAGGAAGAGGGTATATTGGGGTTGACCAGATACACTCATTTCTCAGCTTGTCTAGTAGCCACTGAGTACTGGATATGTTCATTGTTTCTCAATTTAATTAGAATAGACCTTCCCTTACCTTTTCTTCATCTTAATATTTTGAGTAGATAATTATGATAGCAAAAGAAAAACTATGAAGGGATTTTATGTATGGATTCATGTATATTATAATGGATACAATTATTTTAGATTTCACCTAAAACCATTAATAATGCTATATCTCTCTTTCACTTGAACCTTATTTAAAGAAAAAACCAAAAACTTTTGGAATCATTCCCCCATGAATGGCCAGTTTTAAAATATATTATCAGAAATCCATAAGTACTGTTGATGTTTCCTGTGGAATAATGTCTTTTTAATTGAAAAGGATAGAAATCTTATTGGAAGAATTTTTCTGAAATTATGCACTCTACATAGAGAACTGAGAAGATATTCAAGAATATTTCTGTGTCCAGAGCTCCAGTTACAGCAATGATTTAGCCAGATATGGATTATTGAAGTTAGGCCTGTGATCAAATATTTGGACTTTGCTGTTAGTTATGATGTGTCTGTTGCTGAAGTCAGGTTTTCATATTTTTTTATGTACAGTGTGTGACTCAATTTCAAGAGATAAGGAATTCTGATTTTTACATGTTTTTGAGAAAGAACAAAAATTATGGTGTTAATGAGTAAATCAGTTGAAATTCTTTAATGACTGAATAGAATTGGAAAAGAAGCAAATGAACTGATGAATGATGGTTCTCCAGTGCTGGTTTGGGATCAGTATTTATGTAAATAAAAAATCAAGGGAAAGAGTAGGAACTCCCTTTCCTCACCCCCAAATTAACTTCCCCTTGCCGAGATATGCAGTATTTTTAGAGCCATCCATCAACTTTTGAAACTGCCTACCAGTCATGAGCACTGTCAGCCTTTTTACTATCCAGATAGTGAATTATGTGAAAGCCAGTACATTCAATTCCAGATTATTTGCCTTGTTTTATGAGGAGTTGATTTGAAGATCACAAAGTTCTTCTGTTTGAAGTTTTATTGATTATTCAATATTCTTGCTGACAATTTTAAGCTAAAAGTAATAGTTGCTTTATGTTTGAAACACTAGGAAAAAGACCAACTTCTTCAAATTATCAATTATAATTTTTAATGGATCTTGATATAGGCAAAGATTATATTTGAGTAAAACAAGCACCCACTTGGCTACTAACGAGGCTAAGATACAGAATTTTGCCTGTAACTTTGAAACTTCCATTCATCCCTTCTTAATTCTACAACCCCCTTTTCCCTATCTTGTAGCCACCATCTTGAATTTTGGGATTTTTTCTTTTCATTATAGTTTTATCATATATACTTAATACATTATTTGTTTTTTTATCTTGTTGAACATCATGGAAATGGCATCAACCTCTGTGTATTCTTCTGAGACTTGAGTTTTTCTCTTTGTTTCATAGATTTATGTATGTTGATTTGTGCATCTAGTCACATTTCATCATAGTAATTTTTTATACTCTATTTTTTGTTCTATCTTAGGGGTATCTATTGTAAATAGCATGTGAATGTTTTTTTAAAATCATGATATCTGATAATCTTTAGCTTTATGTTTTCATAGCAATTGTAAAAATGTATTTGGATTTATATCTGACATTTCTTTTTGAATTCTCAGTTTCTGCCTTTGCATGTTCATTCCCCCAGTACCCACTTCTGCCCCTTTTTCCTTTTCTGTGTTCTTCCTTCCTCTTCCTTTTCCTGAAATTCTTTTGGATAGATTTTCAATTTCTCATTTTATTTTTTCCTTATTTGGGAGACATATTTTGGAAGACATATTCTTCTTCTGATCTTTTGACAGAAATGTAACATCCACGCACTTGAGGAAACTTAGCAAACGTATTTAGAATGCGATGAAAAAAAAAGCAGTATCTCTAATTTTGAACTTAAGAATACTTCACTCCTTTCACCATCTCTTGATTTGTAATATTTTAATTGGATCCCTTTTCTTCATGATATTATAAATTAATTGCTATTGAGTTATACTTCAAGTACATATGTATGTAATTATGTTTAAACACAATAGATTCATCATTGCTTTTCTTACACATTTTTTCTCTGATTATTTTACTTTGCTTCATGTATACATTGACTTCCCTCTGAGAGTTTATCAGTTCCCTCTGGTAAAACACTCATTTGTCTGGATGTGGCTTTACTTGCCTTTACTTTTGAAGAATAGGTTTCCTAGGGCATGGCATTTAGATATCTTAATACATTGAAGATATTTGCTCTTCTGTCTTTCATTGCTGTTGTTGAGAGATTGGCTCTTTACCTAAAACTTGTTATTTACCAGATGCCCTGCCTTTTTTCTCTGTGTGACTTTATGATGTTTTGTCTTTGGTGTTTCGTAGTATTATGTGTCTAAGTAGATTTTTAAAAAGATTTGTCTTGCTAAGTATGTGTGTGTTTGTGTGTGTGTGTGTGTGTTTGTGTGTGTGGTGCTTTCTGAATATGATTGGTGTCTTTCATAAGTCTGAAAATTTGAGCCATTATCTCTTTGAATATTAACTTTTCCTAATTTAAATATGTTAGTAACTTCTTATTCCATATGCCATTATTTCCTAACATCTTCATAGTTTCCCTCTATTTGTCTCTTTCTACTATATTCTGCAAATGCTTCTGGACCTTCTAGTTTCCTAATTGTTTCTTCACTGATGTCTAAGTTATATATTTGTGTTTTTAATTTCCATTATAATTTCATCCCTATAATTTCTCTTTGACTCTGTTTTAAAACTCCTTATTCTTAATAATTTTTTGCTCCTTATTTTTTAATCCTGTTTTATCTTTTCAAGCATATTAAATATTCTTAATTGATGATCAATGTCTGTAATTCTAACAAACGAAGGTTTCTCTGGCTTAATCCTGGTGATGGTTGATTCTTTTCACCTTTATTCATATCTTGTTTTTTTACATGTCTTGTAATTTTAGAATGTAACCTTTTGTTCCTTGAAACCTGTCTTTGAGATTTATTTTGAAAGGTACATTCTGTTAGAATGAATCAGTGTTTTTCTACTTACTGGGAGTATAAGGATACTAATAATCCAGAACCGCCCTTAAAATTGCTGGTTTAAGGAGTTGTTTTTGACTGTACACTCACCTTACATGTGTCTTCTTGGGTTATGAGTTACCAGAATAAATTTGCCTTGTTCTCCTTACTGTGCAGATTTATTTCTAGTTTACCTTCTTATTGCAGGTATGACCCTTAGAGGTCCTTGGTTTTGGCCATGTGTCCCAGAATGGATGGGGGCCTCTCGGCTTTAGCTTCTATCCCTTTCAGTCTGCACAGCTACAGTGAAGGAAGTGTTGGATTCTCTTCATGTGTGTTCCACTGAGCATATGGGGCTGAAGGCTGGCTTCTCTGAACTCTCTCTCTTTAAACCTTGTGTTTCAGGAGACTTTACTTTCTGGTCACCTCAGAGACAAATACAAAATCATGTCTCAGTGACTGCTGTTGGGAGTGTGGTTGTGGATATCTAATTTAACACCAGAAAGAAAAGTATTGAATGAGAAATTTTAAATTAATAAAAGGATTAGATTCCTATA